ACAATTTTTTTGGTTAATCTCAGATAGTCGGTAATTAATAGGTCCATTTTTTCCTCCAATTCACCTCAGAATCCTTAAATATAGCTTCAACATTATCCAAATTTGTATCTTCTTTCTCATCAAATACTGGTGGTTTATAATAGTCTTTCTTAAACTACTCATCCTTCAAAATTTCTGGGATTGTAATGCGCTGGACAAATGTATCAATTATGAAATGGAAAAAAAAAAAAAAAAGAAGCAAAAGTTGAAACACAAAGAACATGATGCCAATCTTCTCTATTCTTTTTCCTATTGAATTTTTTTTTTAAATGGAAAAAGTTTGTGTATATGATAACTTGCATCGGCCTGAAAAAAACTCAGTATGCTCACAGTCATGGGATTTGGATTCAGGTCACATTTTCTCTGTTATTTCATTGGTAGGCGTTTGTGGCCAACAATTTTGGCATCTGTGACTATTTGGCTGATTTGTGACCAAGAAATTGTGTCTATGTGATCCATAGATAAAATGTGACTTGTAATTTGAATTATCTGTGATCTCGAAATAATTCTTGAAAAAATCTGTGACTAACAAAAGTTTTGATTTGTAACCACAAAATAATCTGTGACCAACTAATTTGACAATATGGGACTAGTTAATAAATCTGTAACCTATAATTATGAATCCGTGACCATTAATCGTGTAACTATGATTTTATTATATTTATTTAATAAATATTTTAATTAATTAAATATATACCCGAATTTTGAATTTTCAAACTTTATACCTAATTTTTGAAATGGTGTAAAGAATACACTTGAAATATAATCCCATTATCAATTGACTAATTTTTTTGTTGACACAAATTATAGATGCTATTCGGTGCATACACATCTTGTGAGGTAAATATTGAAAACTTCTATAATTTTGCGAGATAATTGTTGTTACATTTAACAATTCTAATTATTTTAGTTTATTGTCTAAATTATCGTCCAAATGTCATGTAAAAAGAATATTGTCTTAAAAAATTTCAAGAATTACATCAGTTGTGTACCCGTCAAGCAATGATTAGGTTTTATAGAAAACATTAAGGATATTTTCAAAAATTTCATTTGTAATTGGCCATTTTACTCATGTCTAAAAAGGACATTTTTACTGTAGCATTGATTGCTATTTTCCATAACTAAAAAAAAAAAAGAAAAAAAAGAAGTAGCATTAGTAGCACATTTTAATAGTAATCAATCCTGTGCTCCAATGTTCGAATTTTTTTTTTGATAGATGGAGTGATCGACTCTCATAATGGTAAGGATCCCGCTTTTTTTTGGATTTTTTTATTTACGAGTGACCCATGACATGTAAGAGGATGTCAGTCATTCGGGCAAAGTAGCAAAATTTAATAGTAATAGATTACAACAATGTGTTTGTGGAGCCCCCAAACCCACATTCTTTATCCATTATACGTTTTGTTTTGCAATCCTACTCCATTTCTTTTTTCTCTCTACGGTCTAATATCACTTTTTTAAAAATGGAATCTCAATAATCTTATGTTTACCAAAAAGCTAAAAAATAATAAATAACAAATTGGTTTACGTAGATATGATTGGTGGTTGAGTCATTTCTTCCTCTTTTCCATCTTCAATTGAGCTTTCAGGTGTCACCACAATAAGTAAATCCCTCATCTTTTTCTTGACTTCTTGAGTTGTTTAAGATTCCAAGTGCTTTCTTTGAGGTAGTTTTCTTGGTCTCTTTTTTGATCCATGCGATCTTCGATTGCTTGTTTCAATTTTGATTTTGATCATTGTTGTTGAACTTCAATTGGGTTTTAGCTTCAGTGTTTAGTCCTGGACCCCTCGTATGTTCGACCTTAATCTAGGATTCTTTGACTGTTTTAGTATTTCATAAATAGCATTTTTAAGGTAATACGATTTTGCTAGTGGTACATCGGAGTGTACTTAATAGCGTACACCCCACTTATATGAGCGAGGGATCCCATTCGAATAAAATATCATTTCTTTCACATGGATCCCACATCTATGTGAGTGGGGTGTACATCATTCGATACACCCCATTATGTACTACTAGACATATTCTTTAATTTAACTTGAACAAGGTTTGAGAGTAATGTATTTCTCCTTTATTATTCTTCAGTTTCACCAAGTATAGTTTTTCTCATTCTGTTAGCATGATTCTTTTATATGTGTATTATTGTTGACATGAATATAAGGCTATGGACCTCTGTTCTAATTTTTTAATCATGGAATAAATAGTTAGATAATGTACTTGCACAGAAAGATCTACGGTAGATATTTGGGGCCTTCCTTCCTGTTTTTTGTTGTCGTCTATGAATCTTGGAGAAAAATGTTTCGTGTCTCTGACCATTCCTCTTTCTAGCACTCAAATGCATCAAATTAGTAGACTTGTTCTCAGCACAAGTCTCTGTGCATGAGACAACATTTGCATGGAGGCATGGAACAGAGACAACAAGAGGCACGTTGTCTCCGTGCACGGAGACTTTAAACTCCATCAATATTTATTTTTCTTTCAAATTTTTTTCTTTGGGGAATTTAACAAAAGCCAATTCAAAAAGGGCGAAAAAAAAGAAAAAATATAAAGCAAATAACAAAGAAGGAGAAAAGAAAGGGGAAAAAAAAGGAAACTAACTTACTGCTAGAAAAAATTTAGACACCAGAAAAATTTGAAAAACAAATTAATTCATACACAAATAATAAAAACAAAATAGAAATAAGAACACATTAAACTCTAGAAGATTTCTTTGAAAAAGCGAATTTCGGGTGAGAAAGGGGAAATATCATTGTATCAATTAGACAAAACGGTGTCGTTTTTACTGAAACACCGGGGAAACAAACGAAATGATTACAGTGCAATAAAATAGAATAAATGAAATTAAAAAAGGCTACAGTGAAATGAAATGGAACAATTAGCTGTTCACTTCTGCAGTAACTCCACATTCTCATTTTTATATAGTAGGGAAAAATGAATTTGGTTTAAAATATTGTAAAGTCATTGCTTTATATTACGTGAGAAAATAACGAGCATATTCGATAGTGATTATGAGAATTAATTTTTTGATTATTAGAAAGAAAAGTGGGTCCCACCTGCGAGTGAAGAAGTAAAAAATGAAGACTGAAATAGTGAAATAACGGCTAAAATAATCAATGTTTTGGGTGAAAAATTGCTACCAAACGGGGGCAAAATGTTAAGAACAAAGTGATGGCCTACAAATATTGTAGAAAAATTCGTTCCATCACTAATGGGGCCAAAAAACACGTCCCTATGGGTTGGCGGGGTAGGACGAGGTGTAAGTCACCATCAAACTCTGGTCTCCGTCATGTGAAAAAGAAAAAAATGTTAGTTTAAGCATCATTTGCTTTGGATTTTAAAATTTTGAATTTATATTTTATTCTCTAATAATAGCATAACTCGAAATTTTAAAAATGTACATAAAAAAAGGGGTAAGCAAATGAGGCAAGTCTCGTCCTCAACCTGACCCGTTGTCATCCTGAATGGCCTACTCAATTCAGCCAATATTTATGCCCTTTATTTTTTACTTTTATTAGTCCCTCTCAATTTTTTATTTATCCAAAAAGCACTATAAAATGATATTATCATCTTACTTCTTCATATGAATATTAAATTTTGTTCAAATACTTGTACGGTTTGATATCAGTATTTAGCAATATTTTGAAATTTGATCCGGTCATTGACCCAAAAAAGATGAAGGATTAAGGGTCAAAAGATTCAATCAGGGTCAAACTGGGATCGAACAGGAAGCAATAAACACATACAAAAATTATGAAATACTATGAATTTTTTTTTTTTTTAGTTTCATATTAATAATTTGTTAATTAGATTCATTATTCTATAATTTATTAATATTTTTGTTATGCTACTATCCCATATTAAAAGTTTATGAAACCATTGGAGGAATGTGCATCTATAAAATGCACTATTCCACATTGAAAGTTTATAAAACCATTTGATTTGAGAGAGGTGCATCTTTAAAAAGAGCAAGTCATCCAACATTTCACCATGGGCCGTTGAATTGTTGTTTATGAGGCTCACTCATGAAGGTGGAATTTTTTAACTTTAAAAAATGGAAAAATCACAAAATCGCAACCGATTCACCAATTTACGGTTAAATCGGTCGGTTCGATAGGGTTTCAAGCGGTTAACCAGGCATGATTGGCCCGATTTTGGGTCCGATTCTCAATTTTACCTATTGAATCGACTGGGTTGGGCTGATTTTGATAACATTGGTATTTAGAGTTAGGTGTTAATAATAACGATTCACACCATTCTATGTATTCTGACGGTAAATAATCTATCATCAATTTAAATGCGAAATCCTTATTTGACACCCTTTAAAATTTTAATTCAAAATTTTCTTTCTTTTCATTTCAACCACACATTTTTCAATAAATTAATATTACATATTCAATCATAGATTCTCTCAAAAATATTATTCTATAAAACATTTTATCAAAATTTCTATTTATAATGGATGTCAAAGAAGAGCGAAATATTATTGACAACAATGTTTTCATAGCTTAAAAACTAATGGGTGAGATTTAGGGGTTGAAATTGGAGAAATGAATATTTCAATCTTGTCAACATTGAAGTTGCTAAAAAAATATCAATGGTTGATGCACTAGGCCATTAATCATGCCTATGAAGTGCTTAATAATCTTATTTTAATAGTATTTACAGTAAATATACATTATTTTGTAATGTTTTCTACTGAAGTCACGCGTTATCAATTATATGCAAATCAACAACCAACAAATAAGTAGACAATTAGAATAATTTTCCATTATTGTAAAATTTTTCACTTCATATGGTATTGCCTTTCACAATCTTTACCTACCATCATTTCAGAGTTGATGCACGTAACAAGTTTGGAAATGGAAGAGTTGGCCTTCCAATCCAAATAGTTCCCGTTAAGACAAGAACACTATAAAAATATCCATTCGCATTTCTTACAAAACCTTGGAATACTCGAGAGCGAGAGCGAGAGCGTATTAGCGTAACTCGTTCTCGCCACCCGCACTTTCTCGCTCTATTCCTTCTCTCTCCAAATCTTCTGAAGCAAGCCAAAAACTGTAATATATAAAGCGTATGAGCGTCGTCCTACTTCTAAAGGGCTCTTAGTGTGTGTTTTTGTGTGTGAAATGGCTGTATCAAAGCACAACAGGAAGAAGCGTCAGAGTTATATTTCAGTGTCTTCTCAAATTATCAGCTCAATTTCACAATCTTCGCTTGAGTCTTTGCTAGAATTTCCCAAGAAAAAGCACATTTCTACTTCAAAGCTAAGGCCTATTTTGAAGAATCCAAGATTCTGGATTTTCTTGATTTTTGTACTCTCTTTTCTTTGTATGTTGAAGATATGGTTTACCTTTGATCCCATAACTCCTCTTAAGCAGAACCCACTTTTTACTTCTGAAGAAAAGGCATTTTTATCAACTGGGCTGTCAAGTTCTCAGCTGAAAATTATGGAAAATGAAAAAACAGACGATAAAATTGAGTTTTGGAAACAGCCTGAGGGGATGCGGTATAGGCCTTGTTTGGATTTCAGTGTTAAGTACAGAGAGGAAACTCTTAAAATTATGAAGGACAGGACTAAGTATTTAATGGTTGTGGTTGCTGGTGGAATGAATCAGCAGAGGAATCAAATTGTTGATGCTGTGGTGATTGCAAGAATTCTTGGAGCTGCTTTGGTTGTTCCTGTCTTGCAAGTCAATGTCATTTGGGGTGATGAAAGGTTTCTTATTTTGACCATTTCTTGATTTTTCAGCCATAAAAATGCCATATTTATTCCATTTGATCATGTCTTATAACTTTTTTTTGATCTTCCACTTTAGTAAACTAAGTCATTTTGGTGCATTTTAATCAATGACATGATTTCATTTTAATCAATGATATGATAGTTTTGTGGAGGAAATTGATAAGTCGTGCTGTTATTCTTGTGATTATTGCAGTGAATTTTCTGATATTTTTGACTTGGATCATTTCAAGAATGTTTTGGAGAATGATGTTCGAATAGTTTCATCACTTCCCTCGACACATTTGATGACCAGGCATATGGGGGAGAAGACGACCCCTCTTCATGTTTCTCCCGAATGGATTCGCTCTCGCTACCTTAAACGAGTAAGAGATTACATTGCCATGCCTGTGTTTTCGAGTTTCTTTTATGGTTATGACTGTTGTTCCGTAAACAGATTGGCCTTGATTTTAGTAAATTAGGATTAGAAATTATATGAATGAATTGGATGATTCATTAGCAGTTAACTTCAGTACATGATGTTGTATATTGTTGTTCAAAACTCAATAAAAACGAGTGTGGAATGAAAACCAAAGTTGGCCTATTCGAGCGCATAATCCAAAAGGGGCTGCGGCGCATGGGCATTTGATCTATGCGGTTGCATAGGATTACTCAATGCGACCGCATAGAACGTTTTTCTAGCTGTTTATGACCATTTTCTTTTGAATTTCCGGTGGCTTTTTAAGTGTTTTCGGTACAATTTCGTATAGCTTTGTTTGATGATTATATATAGGTGATTGATGATCAAAATGAAAACATATAGAAACGCTTGAGAAAAAATTCTTCATTCCAAAGGCATTGAAATTCATTTCTTTCTTCATATTCAAATCCTTATTTTATGTTCTTAAGTTTTAAAGGATTTTAATTAGTGATTAAATGATTAATTCTTTTCAAGGAAAGCCTGCAAACTATTTGCCGACAATCCCTTTAAGCACCAAAATTCAATTTGAGAGGGGCAAATATCATTTGAGGATAACGATCACGTGTTTGAGCCTTCTTCTTCGATTTCTTCCTCCATTCCCTTTGTGTGTATAATTATACCAACACACGATCAGTACAGGAATTGTTAATCTGGTTATGAGATCTCAGTTGGATTAATCACCAAAACATTAAAATTATTGGTACACAACTAAAGTAGTTGGCTGGTCGATTGGTATTTCGTATATGAACTTCAGATTTTGACGTCTCAAACTTGTCAACAAATTTAAGTGAGTAACGTATTTGAAATGCTCTATTTTGTTTGTACATTTGTTATCTTTATCATTTTGATAATATGAAATAATTTGTGCAGTGTTTTGTTTTTGTTTTGGGGGGTTGTAAAGGATCATTTGAATTTTTATGTTTATTTTTTGGGAACCCTGCAGCTTAGAAGAGATGGTGTATTACTTTTACGTGGCCTTGATTCGAGGCTTTCCAAGGATCTTCCTTCCGAACTTCAAAAGCTTCGATGCAAGGTAGTTAGTGAACTCTTCTTTATACAATTTACATACTTTGCCGTGAGCCCTACTAACTTTGGAATTTCTACTTAACTATTTGCTTGAAATTTAGCATCTATTTGAGTCCTCTTTCCAATTGTAGGTGGCTTTTCATGCATTGAGATTCGCCCCACATGTCCGCAAACTTGGTAACAAGCTTACAGAGAGGATGAGAAGCAAGGGACCATATCTTGCTCTCCATCTGCGTATGGAAAAGGACGTATGGGTGAGGACAGGATGTCTTCCTGGTCTAAGCCGTGAGTATGACGCGATGATAAATAATGAGAGGAAGTCGAGACCGAAGCTCTTGACTTCAAGAAATAACATGACCTACCACGATAGAAAACTTGCCGGCCTCTGCCCCTTAAATGCCTTGGAGGTCACACGGTAAGCTTATGAATTGCGATTATCTCATTGATGGAACTATTAGGATCTGACGACTCCTTCTGTGTGATATGTTGTTCTGTGCTTAGATTGCTCAAAGCATTGGGAGCACCACAAAGTACGAGAATTTATTGGGCTGGAGGGATTCCATTGGGCGGAAAAGAAGCTTTGCGACCTTTGACTAGAGAATTTCCTCATTTTTATAACAAGGAAGACCTTGCCCTGCCGGAAGAGCTCGAACCATTTGCAAAGAAAGCTTCATTAATGGCTGCCATTGATCACATAGTTTCTGAGAATAGCGACGTATTCATGGCATCTCATGGTGGAAATATGGGCCATGCCATTCAGGTATCGTGTCCATCCTTAAATCATCTGCAAAAATCACTTTTATCGACTCATTATCGCTTATTTTGTATTGGTTGAATTTATATTGAAACAGGGGCAGAGGGCCTATGCAGGGCACAAAAAGACCATCACACCTAACAAAAGACAGATGCTTCTATACTTTATGAATTCTTCTCTTCCTGAAGCGGAGTTCAACGACATTATAATGGATTTGCACCGAGATTCATTGGGGCAGCCGGAACTAAGGACTAGCAAAGTAGGAAGGGACGTGACGAAATATCCTGTCCCAGAGTGCATGTGCAATAATTCAATGACACATTCCTCTTTCTGACTCCTTATGGTACCACACTTCATGGAACTAAATTTGGCATCCTTTTGATAAATAAAGGTCAAGAAGAAAGCTCCAAACAGGATGTATTTGACAAATACCTTGAAATTCGACAAGGCCTCTATGTATCGGCATTTGCGCATCTTCCTAGAGGTGTGCTGCCGTTTTGGATGGCAGGAACTCGCTCCGAGGACACAGAGAAAGTATAGACATAATTGCTTATCCTCGTGTTTATTGTCATCAGTAAAATTTTGAGACGCCCCGAGTAGAAATACTGGAAATGTATACGTAATTTTTTTATTTAGTTGATTCTTAGTATTGTATCTATATACAATGTAATATATTGACACGTATAGATTCCTTTAAAAGTCTCTTCCAATTTCTATTTATTTCACTGTTAAGGCTACTGATTAGCACTATTGTGCAGGTTAGTGTATTTTGCATGTTAAAACTTTTACATGAATTTGAAACCTCATTTTCGAGTCATTTAGTTGATGAGGGACATGACATAAACAGTTGAGTCAAGATACAGAATGAACATGATCTATTTTTCGACTAAAATGTCGAAGATTATTCAAGTCCTCTTACCTGAATTGGAGTATGTTTGAGGTCATTGCTGATGAATGTTTTAGTAGAAGAGTACCAGATAAATCAATTTGTTGCACCTAACATAATTATTATTGGGTTTAGATCACCTAAGTCTTATTTAAAAGTAAAAAATAAAAAAAATACATAGTTTGGTAAGTTAATTAGAGAAAAAATGTAAAAGTTCCTTTCCATTGACACGTATCTGAATTCAACTTTGGGTTATACACCTTTGTTCTCCTACAACTATAGATTTATCTTGTTTTCCTACTAGTGTGATGAAAATTTGAGGTTCCATACCAAAAGTTTTTCCTATTAGGTGGAATAGTTAAATCACTTCTAAAACCCGTTAATTACCCTATGTCTAATCGATGTGGAATTATATTCGTGCTTTCCAAACATCTCAATTGACAGCATAGGCTATCGAAGAGAGAAAAGTTTTAATATTTAGATTTTAGTTACAAAATATTATTTAGTAAGAGAAATTAAAATGAATCTTTGTTAAGACTTTCCTTTGTTCAAAAGCATCAATTTCAACCTTGACTAGCCGATCGATTCAATTTCGTTCATCAACTATATAAAAGTTTGATCTTCGTCCTTCAAATATAGAAAGCATCAATTTGGTCCTTCAACTATACAAAAGCATCAATTTCTTGTTTAAACTATTCAATAGCGTCGACTTCATTCTTCAACTTTAGAAAACTATCAATAACATCCTCAAATTATTCAAGAGCTTCAGTTTGGTCCTTCAACTATTTAAAGCATCACTTTCATTCTACAAAAGTTCTACAAAGTCAACTTGGTCCTTCAACCATTCAACAACGTTAATTCAGCCCATATGCCACCCAATATATATATAATAAAATAACATTTTTTAGTTTAAAAAAAATAAATCTCCAATTTTCACCAAGATGCCTGATTAATCAAATGTCATGCTCAAAATGGCTACATACCACTTTTTCTCTATAAAAATGATATAAAGTAAGAGTAATGCTACATGTATTTAATTATTTACATATTAATATTGATGACATGACATTATATTAAAACTTAACTGAGTTCATTATCTCCTTTTTTACTCTTTCACTTTTTTTTCCTATTTCTTTGTAGCAAATCTGTATGTAAATAATTATGTATAAGTAGCAATACTCTTAAAATAAATAAGTAAATAAAAAATGGGACGAATAAAGAAAATATTTTTATATTCAATCCCACCCCCATACCATCCTTATTATATAGTTAAAGGGAAAATTACCTTATAGCCGGGTATTTAACTTTACTTTTCAAAAATGAAAATTTCAGTTAATTATTTCAAATGTCATGTATCACACAAAATCACATACCCGACATCGTCCCGTCCAACTCACTCGTTACTAACCCTCTCAACAAAGCCCTAAATCAAAACCTAGTGGCGTCCTAGATCTGGATGCAAAGGAGAGGATATATTCAATACTTCGAGGTCGAGTGTAGTGATATTAATTCATGGGACTTCAAGATTTTCCAAAAATCAATGGTGAGATTTGAATATACTTAAAGTATTGTAATTATGTATTTTTTCCTATAGTCAATTCCTAAAATTAATGGGTTGAGCCCTAATAAAGCCTTGATTATCTCAATGACCAAAACTCTTCTTTATGGACTTCTCTGTACATTTCGATTACTGGGCCTGGAGATCCTCTACATATGTATATATTCCAGAAGCAACACGGACAGCATTCGATTCTATACTGAACGTGAAAGTTGCGAGAAGGAAAGGAGAGAATAAAATGCCGATGAAGACTTTGGAAGCAACAATATCAACATTTGATGAAGTTATTCAGAAATTTACAAGTGAATCACCAAACTACAAAGCCAATTTCATCGCCTTCTTGGCTGACAAAGACCCATCAACCAATCTTAGCTGGTGCCCTGGTAAAAATTTAGTCCATATATACATAATATATCTTCATCATTGTATAAACTTTTGATTGTCGAATTGATTGCAAGAATGGGTACTGGATAGGTTTTTAATTGAGAAAAAACAAAAACCCCAATCCCATATTAGGGATTTTTAATGGATTTTATTTTCTGCTGAACTTCTAGGATGTTCTTTGTCTGTGATTGAGAGACACTTGTCTGTGGAGTGATGATTTAGTAATTTTTTTGGGGTTTCTTTTCCTCTAATTATGGCATTTTTTCTACAAAACTTTAACCCTTATGTTTCCAATTTTTCATTATAATAGATATATGAAGATGTCGAGACTCCTTGGACTTATGCCCAACCCATGTCTCAGGGCATTACGGGTTGCCCCCGGAGAAATCGTGCGCCTTTTCCCTTTAGTGATTTCAACCCTGATTCTTTCTCTAGTTTGCCCCATTTCATTGCTTACCTCAATCTCGTTAATTAAAATGTGTGTCTGCAAATGTTTGGCAGAAAGAAAGGGCTATTTGATTTTAATTCCATTCTCACATTTTCCCTTAGAAGATGGCTGAAAAGACTAATATTTTATCCCCGTCCTAATATCTCTCATAAACGCAGAAATGAAAGCAACACATTAATTCCATATCTTCCTTCCAATTTTCTTTTCCATCGATCGAATCTTGATGTTACTTAGATGGTCCTTTAGAAGGTGTATTGTGTAGTGTTGTTGGCACGATACTGAAACATGAATACTGCAAAAGTAACAGCAAGCTGATCATTTTCAGCTGCAGAAGCCCGATGATGAGACTTAGAATGTGTAACTTTACTTTTTTTTCCTTCTTTCATATTTTTCTTAATTTCTCCGTGTTTTTTGTTTGTTTTTCCTGCATTTATAGTGAAGGTGAAGGAGAAGTGGAGGATGTGGAAAAAGATTGAGAAAAAACTCAGTTATGAAGAGGACGATATCAAAATAAAATATCCTGATCATTTCTTGAAAATTTTGAAGATAGATGATATTATAGACTTTTAGTCTTTACCTAATTCTAGTATTGGGTTAATTTTTTACTTGATTACTAGTTGAAATTATTTATTGGTTTGGTTTAGGCTTAAGCCTTGATGCCTGAGTCTTGCCTCATAAAGCTAAGATATCTTGGTACCCTATTGAGCTTTTTTAGACATTGGAATGCGGGATTTCTATTGAAATTCAAACAAATCTCGTTAATATAGATAGCATATGACCACAACAGATTAGTGATGCTCAATTTGTTAGTTCTTGGTTACCTATCTCCCTCCTTTTTTCGAATTACGAATCTGAATTGAAGTTTCAGGATTCTTGTACAACTGCACGCCTTTTTTTCTTCTTTGAGATACTTCTGCAGCCCCACCTTATGACAAAAGGACGTATGTTTGGTTTTCTTTATTCAGATTGTGTGAGAGCTGAGCCCATCATATACAAGAAGCTAGAATCATCACCAGACGATGTGGCACTGCTGAAGGCTTATGTTGGAGATAAGCTTACATGGAGGAATCCTCAGCACCCATGGAGAATTGACTCGAGGTTTAAGCTCAAAGGAGTTCCAACATTAATTCTCTGGGAAGATGGTGTAATAAAGGGTCGTCTGGAAGATCACGAAGCACATCTTGAGCACAAAATTGATGCCCTTCTATCTGGAAAGTAAATCTTGTGATTCGAATCAAGTAAGAATAATGTGTTGGAATATAATCCTTTCTGTGGAAGACAATTTCCAGAATAATGTGTTGACTGAATTTAATAGTTAGACTTGTTAAATGCCAATCAATAAACATAACTGAAATAAATCTACGCTTTTGAAAGATTAAGAAAGCCATGTATTCACGACAACAAACTGAATAAATGTCTTAATCTACAAATAATTTGAACTTAGTGCGAGCATTATCCAGCTTCTTCAATTGGTATTTTTTCACGAAAAGCAGACATGAGATAAGAAATTGAGTGTTTCACTAAGATTTCGAATAGCGGTCCTGACTTTTGATTCACTCGTGGGATCCGGACGGTCCGGGGGGACCACCACGGCTCCTCTCTTCTCGAGAATCCATACATCCTTTATCATGCAGTAAATCAACAAAGCCCAAAGTGATGTCTCTTTCCCCTTCAAGTTTACCTACTACGGTACCAGAGTGAATATGATCTCCACCAGACATGCGTAACGCTTTAGCTAGTACACGGAAGTGGGATGCAACAACGTATTGGACCTGAATACGTCGGCCCCTTGGGAATTCTTCAAGCTCTAGCGGATGGGGTAAAACTACTATTCAAAGAGAATCTTTATCCAAAACAAACAGGTATGGAAGCTATAATTGTAAACCACGATCGAATCTATGGAAGCATTGGTTTATACATTCCTCTTAATCACGACTCTAGGGATAATTTTTTTCGCTATCTTTTTTCGAAAACCACCTAAAGTTCCAACTAAAAAGATGAAATGATTTTGCATTATCTCAATTGAAATAATGAGCCTCCCCATAGACCCCAGTCATCTATAGCTCAGCTGGTAGAGCAGAGGACTGAAAATCCTCGTGTCACCAGTTCAAATCTGGTTCCTGGCACATGATTCATTTGTAGATTGTTACGAGTCATACTTGGCATTCAGGTATCTACTTCAAAAGAAACTTGTTTAAAATTCCCTATAGGTGGGAGGGGCCAGGTTATTGATGTGAGGTGGATCCAGAAAAGGGGATCACTAACTAATATTAATCTAATATAATAGAAAAGAACTATCTTTTCTGTATACTTTCCCTGGTTTCGTTACTATCGCGGGCTTTACGCAATCAATCGGATTAGATAGATATCCCTTCAACACAACATATACGATATATAAGGACCGCTACTACAAAGAGTATTACAACCTTGATCGTGAAATATCGATTGCTTGTTGACCCCTGTGAATTGCGTGAGACAAATGGATACATCTCGATTAGGGTCGTATTCTATGGTTACGATTCCTTGGGTTTTCGAAATAGTGTAAAAAGAAGGGTAACGACTTCGGGCATGGCCAGCTCCCATAGTGTGACGGGTGATGTGTACAAGGCCGGGGAATGAATTCACCGCCGTATGGTTGATCGGCGATTACTAGCGATTCTGGCTTCATGCAGGCTAGTTGTGACTAATCCCCCCTTTTTTCTCTTTTTTTCCCTTTTAGAATAAGGGAGGAAAGAGAAAGAATAAAAGTAGATCCAAT